ACCAGCAAAGGAGAATCTCCCCTGGCCCCACCCCCTTTACAATCTCTATTCACTGGTGGGTGGAGGGGGGCCAGGAAAGGGGACAACACTCCTGAGCCTCCAGACTCACAAGGCAACTGCCCTTCCGACTTTTGTCCTGGGTAGGAAAGGTCAGCTTCCCGTGTTTAACTTTCAGTTAATGAAAGGAGGCTTGGTCCGGGGAGCCAGGGACCCGCCAGAGTGGAGGCAGACAGAGCTGGCACGGGGCCTGTGGGAGCAGGAGGTAGACCAGGTACAGCTATCCTGGGCGACAGTCCCCTCTTAGGTGTGGCCCTATCTAAGCTAGTGATGAGGTGACAGAACCCTGGGGAAGACGTATGTCTAGTGCCAGCTCCCTGCCAAGGGCCCAAGACCCAGTGTGGGTCCCCTATCTGTGTCCTTCACCACAACCTGGGGGGCCACCAGCTTTCCCTTATTCATGTGAGCTCTTTCCCTCCGGGCCTCAGTTTCCTTGTGTGTGTGTGAGGCCACGTTACTGCAAACTGCCAGACACTCCCAACCAGCTGCAGGGACCTAACCAAACCCTAGAGCTGACAGCAAGTATGGACATGTGTGTTTCTACAAGTGGCTGTGAAAGAGGCCCTACTGGTGGGTAAATATTTAACACAAGGGCCAGCTGACCCCGGTGGGTGGTGTGGCGTCAGCCTGAACACAAATTCCTGCCCCCACAGCTGCAGATATCACCTGTTGCTTATTAATGTTAATAGCCTCTTCGTTTACTCAGCTCTTCCCACTGCATTCAGAGTCTACATAGTATGGCCTTGGCAATAGTCAACCCAAATACTAAGCCCGAGAGCTACACTGTCATTCCCCTTTTACAGAACAGAAAAATAAAGCCCCCAAGTGAAATGACCTCCTGCAGCACAGCTTTGCCCTGCTAAGGGCTGAAGCCAGTAACACAGGACAGTCACCGCCAGATGGGCTCTTTGAGAGCCCACGGGAGCAGGTGGCCACACACCCCAGTCTGCTCTTGGTTCCAATTCAAGTCTTCTATTCTGGAATAAATATTAATAATACCCACTTTCACTCTCAACAGGGAGGCTGGTCAGAGGGTCACACTGACTTGGAGAGAAGAGGGCGCCAGGCAAGGGCGCTCAGGAGAGACCACACAGAGGCGACTATGCCTGCCTCTCCCTCCCTCCCTCCCTCAGCAAACAGCACACTGCTATTGTTCTGCTGACCCAGGAATGCGGAGCAAATAGGCACATTAAAAGATGTTCCTACATCCAAAAGGAAATGTTTTCTAGACTGCAAGGGTCTGGTAGCTCAGCAAACCTCTGACTGCCTAAGCCTCCAAACGCCTAAGCCTCTAAGCGGGAATCATACACCCAGAAATGCAGCACAGCCTAAGCTTGAGAACTGACCCAGGCTCTACTGTGCCCCTGAGATCCAAAGGCATGGGGGTGCTGGCCAGGACCCTGGGGTGACTGCTGGAGGGTTTGTTCCAACACTAAAGGAAATGTATTTTCTCTGCTAGCAAATGTGCTGTTTTCTGGACCTTCTGCTCCTCTGACTGTGGTGGGAAACGAATCACGCTCCCACATGATTCTACATCACGGCTACAAGAAGGTCATCGGGTTTTGAATAGAAGAATCTACTCGCTAGCCAGGGTCTATTTTTAGAACCATTTTGTGCCTCTACTTGAATTATCATTTCCTTTTTTCACCCATCCCCATTTTACAAATGGGGAAGCCAAGCCTCAGGAGTTAGATAAGCAGAGTTGCCAGAATTCAGTCCTCACATCAAAACCTTAGTTTTATGTAATATGAGGATGTCCACACGTGTGGAAACAACACAGGAGCCATACAACGTGGCTGAAGGCCCCAAACGGAGTATCACAGAGCGACGTGCAAACACACGCAGATGAATCTGTAGACTTATTATTACTCAAAGGAAGCAACACACAAAAGAATACATGCTCTCTGTTCCAAACCAGAAAAAACAAAACTGGCATTTAGAAATGCACAGTCAAAACTGGAGCTGTAAGTAAAATTAAGCTAAAGGTTTGCCCAACAAGCCTGCTTCCGCACCATCTGACTCTGGAGCTGGAACTTTCTTCGTCCTAACTACCGACTGGTTAGGTACAGACGCTAAAAGCTGCAGATAATTTAAATAATCTAAGCTGCTAATTACTTTCAACTGATAAAAACACAAAGAATTTCTGTCTGTAGCAAGGACAACTCTGACGTTTATGGTTCTTTGGTCCTGTAAACATCAAACAGTTCTGCATCTAGTTGTATCCAGCGGTTTCTTTCCCGGGCTAGGCGTCATCTCTGCCAGCAGACCCTCGCCGACTCCTTAGCATTACGTCAGAACGACAGGTGCTCACGTCACACACTCACCTGGGAGGTGAGCAGCAAGCGACACACAGGAACACCATTTTAGCTACAGCAAAAGGGAGGCTCTAAACACCACCTTTCCCAAGCCTTTCTGGAGGTGAGGCCACTCAGGAATGGCTCTAAGCGTGATCTGGAGGCTCCTGGCATTTGGGGTGCAGCCAGGCCCAGTGCCCCTGACTGAGGCCTTGGTGAAGCTTTTTCAGACTCTGAGGTGATGGTCTTCAGATGCCCATGATCACCCCAGTGACCCAGGAAAGTGCTAAAATGCTGGTTCCTGAGCCCTCCCCCAGAGTTGCTGATTTCGGTGGCCTCGGAGGAGGCTCGTGAACCCGCATTTACAACAAAGCTTCCCAAGTGATACTCGCGGTTGTCTGGAGCCCACGTGAGTCTCTAAGTGCATTCACTGAAACCAAGAGTCCCAGCTTTGTTGTCATACCTCGCAGGTCCCAGCCTAAGCTGCAAACGCAGAACCTTGTCAGGGTCAAGTCACTGCCTCCCAGTTCAGAGCAGAAGACAATCAGCTAAATGCAGCCGTGGCTAGTGAGGAGTGCGATGGCTATCTCCTTAGGTGTGGATGACTTGGCCAGTGTGCTCAGTTACCAGGGCTCTCAGACGTGAACGCCTCCATTCACGGGGCGGGGGCAAGAAGAGGGGGTGCAATGAGCTGGATGTGGAGTATTCTGGAAGCCTTCCAGAGAGGAGGGGCAGGGATGACTGGGCTTACTTCTCCTCACTCCACCACCCCATCTAACACCCACAGGCTGGAAGTAGTGTGTCTGTTGGGGAGTTGGGGCTGCTGATGGGGAGCGAGTGTCGATCATAAAAGACAAAAGGTCTTCACCATGGCAACCACAGAAGGAAGTTATGGGGTGTGAGGCTAGGCCCCAGTTCATCAAGAAGAAACAAGAAGGGCGACCTACTGTGTGATTCCAACTAAAAGACATTCTGGAAAAGCCAAAACTGTTGAGGCAGTGAAATGATGGGTGGTTGCCGGGGGCTGAACAGGTGGGAGGTTGGGTGGCAGCCGGGAGGGGTGTGGCGTCCAGGAGTGGGTGGCAGCTAAGTGTGGCATCCAAGTGGCCACCTGGACCCCCCTGCTCCACAGCCTTCGTCCCCAGCCCCCCTGCCCACGCTGACACTGGGCAGCTCACCAGCACCTTCCAGATGTGAGGACAGCTGCTCACCCTTTTCCTCAAAGACAGGCCTTCCTCACCCAGGCTGGCTGGACACTCCCTGCCCCTCCATGTCCCAGGATGCTATGCGGGCCTGTATGTGGGCCTGAAGCCCATGTGCTGTGCTGGTGGCTCACAGCAATACCTTGCCCTCAAGCACCCCCAAAGCCCCCTTAGCTGCCTCCCCTTAAGCTATTGGTCTTTAGTTCTGCCAAGCAGGAAACCCAGGGGTGCCATGGGGCCCCATCGATGTACTGCCAACTCTTTCACACCTAGCCATGACCCAGCCAGACACTGCCAGCCAGTCCCAGACCAGGAGGGCCAAGCTAGGGGGTGCGGGGTAGCAGGCAGAGCTGGCTGGGGTTTTTAAACAGGAAGGAAGAGCTAGCCAAGGTGGGGGTGGAGGCCCCGGGAGGGCGGAAATGACTGCAATGTCAGCACCCAGAAGCAGACAAGAGAGGCCAGGCCTCTCCACTTCTGCCACCCAGTTTTGACTTTGACCTTTGTGTTCAGACAAAACTGCCAGTCTGGACCCTGACACCCACAAAAGCCAGGGAGAAAGAAGCAAAACAAAAATATCAAAGAAAGGGGTGGCGATTTAACATCCAGGCTCTCCTGGCACACCTCCCAATGCAGAAATGCCATGTGGGCAGTGGGCAGGAAACGAGAGAAAGCTGCTGGGAACCCCAAACCCTTCCCTTCCTTCTGCTCCAGCAGCCACCAGCAGGAGCAGCCCAGAGCAGGAGCAGTAAAGCATCGGCCTTGTCCAATGCCAGACTGGCGGGGGGCGCAGGGGGTGCGGGGGGACAGGGCCCACAGGGGTCAGCAGGCAGCCACAGTAAGCACGGGAGCTTACGTTACTGATCTGGTCCTGGGTCTTCTTGATTCTCTGGAGTTCGGGTGTGTCTGCCACCACGCTGAAGCCTTTGCCCTTGTTCTTCTCAAACTCCTCCTTGTAGCGCACCTGGAAGACCAAGACGAGAGAAGAGCTGGAGTCAAGCCAGGGGGAGCAGGGAGGGTCCCAGCCTTGGCCACCCCCGAGGCAGCAACCACCCCCGCGGCAGCAACCAGCCAGGAAGAGAGATCCTGGCCAGAAATCCCACTGTGGCGGCATCCACACCGCAACGCAACGTAGCAGCCTGGGCCAAGAAAGTATTAGATTCATGGTATTAACACATTAATATGTATTGGGGGCACCCCCGGGTGGCAGGCACAGTGCCAAGTGCCTTACACGAACTATGCCATTCACGCCTTACTAGATGCTATTACTAGCCCCCCAGTAGAGTTAAAGGAACTGAGCCCCAGAGTGGCAAAGGCCCCTGCCCAAGGTCACACAGCTCAGCAGCACCTCCAGGGCCGCCAAGCCCTGTCCTCACGGCCAGCCCAGCCTGCCCGAAAGCCGCAGGAAGGAGGGGTCCTGGCACCACCTGGCCCTCACCCTCGCCAGGAGACAGCCCTACCGCCAGAAGCACAGGGGCGCTGAGAGACGGTGCCCAGAGACACAGAGGGCGCCTGGAAAGGAGGCTCATCAGTGAGCTTTGGACGGTCCCGGAGTCTTCCAGGAATCTCCATGCCGGCTTCTGTGGCCAGCGCCTTGGGACCAGAGAAACTGGTGGGGCACAGACGGCACCACAGAAGAGGGGTGCGAGCAAGCTCCAGGAAGAACTCCACCCCCCACCACGGAGGGCCCTCCCTCGTGGCGCAACGGGTTAAAGCGCAGCGCTATGAAGCTGTCGGCAGCCACTGCAGAAGGAGTTCGATCCCAGCCAGGGAGCTGACCCACATGGCGCGGCAGGCCTCTCCTGTCTCACCCGCTGCTCCCCTCAGCAGTGTGTTTCAGCCAATCTGCTTGTTCTGCTCCCCGCTCTGTCTCTGATGAATCCTCTCACCCCCCACACCTCTGGCCTGTACCCCAGTTCCTGCATGCATGCGTAAATAAAAGGCAAGTCCTAGACGAACTCAAGTCCGACATCAGAAAGACTTCCCAAACACTGATGGAACTGAATACACGGAATGTCTTGTTCTCCCTTGGGGGTTTCCAAGAGCAAAATGGAGGTGGGAAATGCTCCCAGGACAGAAAACCGCCTCAGCTTGCAGTGACATCACGTCCACCTAGCAGCCAGCTGCTCAGCGCCCACCAGCTGCCTGCATTTCCTCCACCAACCGCACTGTCCAGAGGGAGGTCAGTCCAGGACACCAGGCCAGGACTTTGGAGTTTCCAGGATGGGAGGCCCAGGCAGCTCCAAGGCCTGGAGCCATCCGGCCACACTCTGACCCACCCAACC